GTGCAGTGTTTTTCTATACCTTTAGCAATCCAATTACAATCAAGGATACAACAGAAATGCAGAACTTTTAAGTGGAATATTTATAGGAGGAACATCTGGTAATACAGTTGGGAATTTACAAATAAACTATTGTTACCCTTATTTGATGTTTGCTGTGAATAAGGATGTGGCATTGTCAAAAACTGGAGTAGATGATGCACTGCAGTTGATTTATGTGCATCATTAACAGGAGTTTTACTCAATTACTATTACTATTATTTGTCTTCCAAAAATAATTTATTTCAATTATAAGTATGTATTTTATAATCTATGTCATAACTATTTTTAAATGACATTTTTGTTGTTGCTTATTATCTTAGACTATTGCCGTCCCTGAGTTTTAAGATTCTAATCCCCTGTGATTAAGATCACGCGCCGCATACACATATTACGTTTTTCGAAGATGGTATTGAAATATGACTAATATGTAATCTTAAATGCTGTTGTTAAGCAGTGGAACTGCATTTATGCATGCTTGAATGGTCATTGATCCCAGTTTTTCAATTCTGGAGAACAGTAATTAAATTATCAATTACATTTTTTTAAATGTGTTTGAAAATTAATTTTGTTATGTTCATTCAATTATTTTATTGGAATTTCGTAATTAATGTCTTCGTACAGTGTATGAAAATGCAATATAGTCAAACATGACACGCACGTCACATAACATTATCGTCGAACAACACAATTCTTTTGATCACTCGAAGCAGTTTTTCATTCTCTTCGACAGTTCATAATAGCAAATGTGATTTTGATCACTTAAATATTGATTGATGGAAGAAATTATTTCTGAAGGCACTTCGTGTCAAGTATTTCCATATTAGATAATACGTTTTTGATTTATTATTCAGATTTCATTGAAGTTACTAAATTTTTTTGTAAATTTGTAATGTTATGATATTGTTTCTAAAATCAAAGTTTAGCAAATTGCTTTTATTTGGAGAACTTTGAATTTATTCTCTTAAACGAAAATAATTGACCATGGTTTTTGTTCTAATTTTAATAAATATGTGCCACTTTATTTTATTGAATTATTTGCCAACCTGAGTCACCTCCGTATCAGGGTATCCTAATTTCCTTCAAAATCTTAAAATAAATGCTAAATCTACACAAAAAGGACAGTACATTCAAATATACCGCACCGTATATTGAATTGGGAGAGTGTTAGTTCATCGCTTCCCCCCACCCCCACCCCACCCGGGTTACTTTATTTGGAGTACCACACGTCCGAGCGCAGCACTGAAGCAGATCTAACGCAATAGTTCTGGGTGGTTCTGGAATTCAATTCGCCAGCTTTGCGTAGGTCGTAATCTTGTGGCGGTTATTTTCAATGTGGTAACTTATGTATACAAATTTAAGTTCTATTTTTTCCCCTAGACGATGCCAATTTTTCCTAGCTTGAGCACTACTGTTTCGGAAGAATTGTCCATACTACAATAGTTTAGGCGTACTAGATAGAGGTTAGTGGTTTTATCATTAAGAGTATTACTGGTTACTTTTATCATGATATCCCGACCGTGTAGGATTATATTTCGAGAAATATATTTGATAATCGATTGAGAATCAAAATGAAAAGGAGCTGTTATGTATGATAGTGTGCATGATAATTATGGAAAGAAAATTGAATAGTAGGGAAAATTAGGCCGAGATTGATGTTGGTAATGAGTATGAAACAATGAAAGAAAATCTTATTCAATTTGTGCAGGAGGCAAAATGTGGATAAGAAAAATACCATGTCCATGGTTCTCTGCAGAAATAAAAGAAGCTATTCAGAAATATATTGCTTACAGTAGATTTTCATGATTAAAAGAAGTAGGTATATTCCTAAAAAATAGAATGAGAAAGTTATAAAAAGTGTAGAAATAATTTTGTCAATTGTTAGAGAGAAGCAAAAAATAAAGTATTATGAAGATAGTTTTGAAAGACTTAAAGATGAGCCTAAAAAATTATGGAAACACCTAAAAACTACGCATAAAATTAATGAGAAACAAATGAAATATGTAGTATTTGCTGATGATCATGTATTTAACTGAGGTGTATAACTTTAATGAGGTGATGTTGAGACTAAATGAGTATTGTATTAGTAATATAGGAGAAATAATGGGAAACATACCTAGTGTAAGTGGTTATGAAATGGTTAAAACAGCTCAAAATGTTAATTTGAATATGTTCCAGGATGTATCATTGCAAGATATAAAAACTTAAGAGACACTAATAAACCTAATGGACTTAGTAGGGATTTGATTTAAAAAATGGACAGTAATTGGAAACAGTTACTCAAATTGTTTAACAATCACTTACTCAAAGAAAGCTAACAAAGACACTGAAAATATCAACAATTATTCCTATAGCTAAAATAAAGGATAGTGCATGTAATGATGTTAGACCAATAAATACTCTTCCAGTTGTTGAAAAAATCATAAAAACAGTGGTGTATGAAACTAATGAAATATGTTAGAGAAAACAATTTGTTAACAGAAGAGCAGATGGGATTTAGAGAAAATAATAGCACAGAGACAGCATTGCAAATGGTAATTGAGGATTGGTTAAGAGCTATTCATAGGGGTGATGAAGTGTGGCAGTGGTCTTGGAATAAGACAGGCATTTGAAACAATTAATAGGGAGTTACTGTTGGAAAAATTGAAAGAAATATATAATATAAGTCGTATGTATGAATGATTAAAAAGATTATCTAGATGACAGGTATCAGAAGGTCAGATTTAAAAATAGTGTATCAGATGAAAAACCAAGTAATACATGGAGTGCCACAAGGGAGTAAAATAGGACCACTTCTGTTATGTATGTATTACATACGTTCATTAATGATCTACTGGAAGTGGCAAAGCAATGCTAACTCCATATGATTGCAGATGACACATTGATTTATCTATATGGTAATAATGTACAAGATTTGATAAATAGAATAAATAGAGAATTAACTTCGGTTAGTGAATGGTTGAGCATGAAATTTTTGAGTGTTAATGTTGGTAAAACAAAGTGTATGGTTATGTGGCAAGATAAATTTAGTTAAGAAGTAGAATCAAGACAGTCAATTGTGTTTAATGGTGAAATTTTGCAATGGTTTACGACATACAAATATCTTGGAGTGGTTATAGATAACCATCTAAATTTTAAAATCATGTTCAATTCATTAACAACACAATAGTTAAGAAAGTTAATTTGTTATATAAATTGAGGAAAGTTATTTGAAGGCCAGGAAAGGAATTATTATTTAAACTAATTTTGATGCCCCATGTGTATTACTGTTCCACTATTCTTACTATGGTAAATAAAAAGAAAATTGAAAAGATACAAATTAACTTCAACAAAGGAATGAGAACCGTTTTGAATTACAGGCGTAATGAAAATGTTAGCAATATGCTAAAAGAATTAGTATATTTATCAGTTGAAAAGGAAGTAAAAACAGATGTACTAACATTTATTTATAGATTAGAAAGGAAACTATTGCCAGAATATTTGGATTGTTTAGTTAGAAAAAATATGAATTTATCAGTACCCTACAAGACAAGCTAATTAATTCCATATGGAAAATGTTCAATCCAGCAAAGCTCATGGAACAATATTTAATAGAGAACTTGCAATATATAATGATTGAACACAAAAAAATTAAGGAATTTGGGTCAGTTGGAAAATTTAGAGTAAAATCAGGTGTTAGGTTGGAAAGTATTGAATAGGAACATTAGTATAAGAATATTTTGTATTGTTAAAGAATTATTATTTTAATTATATTATTTTGTTATTTGAATACTTGTTAAAGAATCACTTATTATAAATTGTATAAATCATTTTATTAATAATTATTAATACTATGCAGTTAGGCTGCTGTGTTAGCGAAATGTGATATTAATATTTAAATTAGCCATGGGCTATTTGTAAATAAATAAACAAAGTAAATAGAATCAATTGAACTCATGCTTGGCTCCTTTTTTGAACCTGCACAGTCACACCCGCTGTTTCTTCCCATCACTAATGAATACGAGATGCTAATCACAAGCATTAATAATTTGCATTTAGCGAGCATTGTTACCAATGGATGGACAAGATATCATGTATGAAAGTATATTTAAAGTAGAAAAGGTAAGATTACTGTTTATGTATAGCAACTTTTATGCTTTTAATTTGTCCAGTTTGCAAATACATCAGATTAAGGCAAACTTAAGGAAATCGTTACTTGCCTAGTACACAAGTAAGCTCTTTTAGGTATACTGAATGAATGATGGAAATGTTTATTACTGTTATTTTCTTTTGGCTTCAGGTTAAAGAAGAACCTGATGACTTTTTTGAAGAAGCAAACCCCATAGTAAGTTGCAATTTTTTGATATCTCTTTGGTCTACCTTGAAAATGATTGTGGTACATTTCTCTGCTTTATTTTGTGTAACTGCTATTCTGGAAGAAACATGAGGGTGAAGGTGAAGCTGAAGGATATAGATTGGATGCACATGATTATGTTAGGTTCAATACGAGTATATTACAGTGAATGTTTTGAGTTTAATTAAACTTCCGTACACTAGGGCTATATTGTTTGATTGTTCTTATGGTTCAAAATTGAATAATGAAAGCAAACATTCAGATCAATGGCAATGTTTCTTTGTTTATAAAATGTGTCGTAAAGGAAGGAAATCCACTAAAAGAAGACGGTGGATGATATTTGCGTTCTGTTTGTAGGAGCTGGTGCCGCCTGCCAAAGTTTTTTTGGAGGACACGGTTTTGAATGAACAGGTTGAGGAATGTAAGGTGAGGATTACAGCTTTTCATTAGTGGGAATATTTATGGAGCATCGTTTCGAAGGTAGTTAGTAGATTGATGAAATTAATTTCAGGCCTTCAGTTATGGCTTCGAATTGCATGTTGTTAGTGTTTGTGATTTCTTATCTGTAACATTATTGTGAATTTTTTCGTTTGTCACTCAATACTTTTATTACTTGTTTCAGGAATTGCTAAAATGCTGTTATGTTGTTGTTGTTGTTGTTGTTGTTTTTTATTTTTTTTTCTTTCTCCATAGGGCCTACACAAAGCAAGCACCTTGAAGAGTGTGATTAAGAAGGAAGACTATGAAGAAGTAAGCATTTCACATGCACTATTCTTATTTTGATTTGATTTTGACTACTTGAGAGTGTATTTCCTTCTCAGAGGAAATGTGTGCTAATATCCGGGGCTTGAGCAAAAGGATATGATGGATATATTTGTTTTGTGTGTTTAGCAGCTGGAACCACCTGTCACAGTGTTTCTTGAGTCCACAGAGGTCATAAAAGAAGAGGTTGAGGAGGAACGGGAGGTGAGTATTACAGCTAACTTGTTCTGGGCTTGTTTTCATGAAAATATGTAGTGTTATATAATTATGAATATTTTAATGGTTGTCTGTTGTGAAGTTTTCTGTTATTTTGGTATCTTAAGTCAATCCATTGAAGAACAATTGAATACAAAAATTGTTCATTAAAAATCCTTTTGAAACAGTTGATCAATGTACGTTATTTTTGAAGTACAGCAGTTTATGAAGAGAAGTGTTCACCTCATCGGATACATTCAAATCTGTAGGCCAGAAAGAAATTACAAGTTACAAAATAAAGTATAGAAATGATAAAATGAGTGAACACCTGTTAACACAATTCTATCATTTATATATTTTATTTTGTTACTTCAAAAAAAATTTTTTCTTACAGGTTGTTAAGCTACCAAAAAATCAGAAACAATACATTGAGTATGGTTTTTGAGATTGTCTCTGTGAAATTAGGAAAATCCTGGGCTTTCATTACTGTGAGATTTCTGAATTCTTTGCAATTTTTTTTTTATTGCTAAACTCAGCTTCTGGAGATCTTTCTTTGATACTGACTGCTAGCAAACTAGCAGTGAAGTATTGCAAACTAGCAGTGAACTTTTGAGATACCTTAATCAAAAATCAAACGACCAATTATGGTCTATCAAGCTCCTATGTTTATTCAAGTCTGGGGCACTGGTCAAAGGGCCCATGCCATTTGCCTACACACAAAACTCAAGGTCGGGCATGTGGGACAGCTTTCACACCATCTGCAATGCAGATTGGCAGAAGCTGATATGTCTTATATCTGACTGATGCTATACCTGCTTTGCCATGAAAACATTGAAGTACTACCCAACTGTCAGTCCTTAAGTTCCATCTCCCATATTGTTCAAAATTATAACGAAAACAGTTTTGTTGTTTTATCTGATTCAGAGTGAAATTCAAAGTTTGTTGTGTATCTGACCTTCAAAGTGAACTTTGGTGTTTCGTTGCAGAATTCGTTGGCTACGTGCATTGAATGGTGGCCCATTAAAACTGAAGAGACTGATGAACGTTCATACTCTCCTGGTAAGTAGAAAAAAAATTACGTTAGTGGACACTGCGTGGGAATCGTGCTTGGGGAAGGAGTTTTTATTTGCCTAAAAGCACTGTAAATGCTTGTAACAACAGTGTCTGCCAAGTTTGCGAAGTTCTCTGACTGTTGTTCAGGAATTATTTTAAGAGAGAGAGAAAGAGAGGGACATTTGATAAGGTTTTAAAAGAAATTATTTCTAGCAAAGGCTTCTAATATCCACCAGGTAATCAATTTGATGCAAATACTAAAACCTTATTTAAATGTCTGTAACAATTGTTTCACTCTTAGTGCAGCTAAAGTTTGGAATGAGCTTCCAGGTAAAAGTGACTTTTTATAGATCTCTGAGTACTTTAAAAAGAAGTTGAAAGACTTAGTTTCCCAGAAATGAGAAATATCTGGGGGACAATACACATCAATTTGTCAACAAAACACTAAAGAAGTTATTCTCTTACATGGATGTTTATAAAAAATCCTGTCATATAGTACCGTATCCCCTTAATCACAGTCGTGGGAATTTGGTCTTTTTGAAGATTTGTTGAGTCTGGTGAGTATGTAATAGGAAAGACCAGCACACAACAACCATGAGGGTTTTAAGAAGGGTAGTAGTTTTATGTTACACAACTAGATTGCATTTTCAGTGCAATCATAGTTCACAGGATCAATTAGTTTTTGAATTCAAATTTCATGTGGCTGTGCCAGTTTTAACTTGGTGCATTTTTGGTGAATTGACATTTTGTTAATAAATCATTACCGGCATTGTGGTTATTTTAAAAGGTTCCTCTTTTCTGAAAATAAAAAAAAAGAAAACGCGCTTCTGGCACGACGAACCATTCAAATGCTTTTCCAGTGTGAATCTGCATGTGGATTCTTATACGTCTGCTGATGGGAGAAAGTGGGCGCTTCTGGCAGACTGAAGCATTTCAATAAGGCCGCTTTTTTCTCTCCTGTGGTGAATTCCCGGCATTGTGGGTATTTTAAGTTCCTCTTTCTGAAAAACAAAAGAACCGCGTTCTGGCAAGACAGAAAAAATATGGTCCAAATAGGCTTTTTTTTCTTCCTGTGTGCA